GATTGGAAGAGTTCAGAACCATGGACAAAGCCTCAGTTACTTGGGCCCTTAATTCCTCATAGGAGAGTTCAAAATATATGCTGTTTCTGATGGCTAGTTCGGTGGCCAAAACAGCTGGCTTGTAATACTTACCAAGTCAGAAAAGGAACTCTGGAAGCAAGTCTACTCCAGTGAGGAATGAACAATTGAGAGCAGAGGGAATTTCTTCCGGGAGGTTTGATGATGATGGTAGGAGAATCTGCGAATGTAGCCAAATCCAGTAGAGTTTCAAAATTCTAACTCAGGGATTGATGACAGAGGAATGTTTAGTTGCAAATCAAGCGAGACAATTGCTAACCTGGTTTTGTCAGGGTTGGTTACCATTTCCAGTAATTCCATGGAAGGATTGGTCACGGGTACTTAACTGGGAGTATGGGTCCTGGAAGGACAATAGAAGAGGTCCAGCGCACAGATTGACTCATCATCTGGAAGAGCCAAAGGTCTTTATCAGACATGCTATTAAGCAGTTGTTGGTACCAAGACTCCAATTTGACATATGAGCTGGATGAGAGTGGGGTGTCAGATTTATAGATAGTTGGCATTATGCACTCTGAAATCAATTAAGCTCTAATTTTGGAGAAATTTGTCTCAAAATTAAAGTGATAAGCTCTTCAGAGAAGAATTAATAATGATATGAGCCAAGAGATTATTATGCTAAAATAACAAGGGTGAATATAAATGAGCATTCTTAATTGTACCATGAAACAAACATTGATGGCAAGAATCTCCTGTAAAGATGAGGAGAAAATCATGATATCGAGTGTTATGATTTTAACCAGATGGATTTCTTCTGATAGTATCAGGATTAGGGGTGTCAGTTAGTTGGGCATGATTGCCAGCTAATCGCCTAGTTTGATACTATTGAATTTTATAAATTTTAGGTAGTTTTAGTTCAGCAGAATCTGTGTTCAATGCTGAAATGCTAATTTGAGGAACATTGGTGGAGTTTCCAGAGGAAAGATGATGAATCTGTTACTATCCATTCAAAATGGTTCTGCGACTAAATTTAGAGCACCAGCGACTCATGAAAAGGATGCTCAAAAATATATTCAATTTAAAAAATCATATACAATTGACTGGCGACTCATGCTGAAAATGAATTGTCCTAATATTAAATTTGGTGATCAGATGAGCAGATTAGGAGGGAATCGCTATGATGAATGAAGTGATGATCTGATAGAGTTCTGGCATCAAATGACCGATGGGTTTTCTGGTATTGATTGGCCAATAAGTGCTTGGGCGCAGTAACCCAGAAGTAGTATAAATAGTCGTTCATTCCCTTTAAATAAACATCTCTCTTTCGCCCATCTTTTCCTACTGTTTGAAGTAGCAAGAGCCACTAGATTAGGGAAGGTGGGACAGGAGATCCCAATAGGTGCAGGTGATCATGCCTAGAGTGGCTGGCGCTGCCAGCTCCCATGCCTCCTCCCTATGAGAAACTGGCAGGAATCTGGCCAGCTAGCCACCAATGGCGGATGCTGACTGGCCGCCAACATTATGAGGTGCAGGCAGGAGTTCCATAGTCACCCAGGAAGGGGGATGGACTTGTGGGGAATGCCCAGATGTGTTAATGAAGAGTTGCGAGGGTGGGGCAGCACAGTAGTCCCTGAGCTGCCCAGGATGGGGGTAGGACTCACCAGGGCACACACTGAGGACACCTGGGGCTAATGCGAAGTTGTTGGTGGTTGATTGGTGGGTTGACGCGGAATTTTAGGGGTTGGTACACCAATGAAGGCAAAACAGCAAAGGGTTAACCAGTCTTCCTATTGGTTGCCTGGCAAACTAGTGGAGCCCATAGTCACTTTTGTGACAGTGGTGCTCACTACAGAAAGCTTCACTGGTGGGCTGCTCAAGTAGTTGTAGGACTAGTTAAGGCGTGGTAAAAGCCACTGGTTAAGACTGGCGCCCCTTTGTGGGCATTGGGGGCCTTGGCCCACCACTGGGTAGGTCACACCGAAGGAATACCATCTGATTAAGGGGAGGGCAATGTCATGATTTTGACCAGATGGATTCCTTCCTATAGTATCAGGATTAGGGGTGTCAGTTAGTCAGGCTTGATTTCCAGCTAATCACCTAGATTGATACTATTTTTTAGTACTAGATTGATACTATTTAATGTTATATTTTAGGTCAGTTTAGGTTCAGTGGCATCTACATTCAACGCTGAAATGCCAATTTGAGGATCGTTGTGGGAGTTTCTAACAGAAAGCTGATGAATAAGTTACTATCCGTTCAGAAATGGTTCTGCTGCTAAATTTGGAGCTCCAGCGACTCATGCCAAGGATATTTGAAGTTATATTTAATTTAATGTATTATATACAATTGACTGGCGACTCATGCCAAGGATGGAGTGATCTAGTAAAAATATTTATTGATCAGATGAGCAGATTAGGAGGGAATCGCTATGATGAGTGAAGTGATGATCTGATAGAGTTCTGGCATCAAGTGGCTGATGGGTTTTCTGGTATTGATTGGCCAATGAGTGCCTGGGCGCAGTAGCCCAGAAGCATTATAAGTAGTCGTTCATTTCCTCCAAATAAACATCTCTTATTCGCCCATCTTGTCCTATTTATTTAAGTAGCAAGATCCACTAGAGTAGGGAAGCTGGGACATGAGATCCTCAATAGGCGTGGGTGATCACGCCTGGGGTGTCTGGCGCTTCCAGCTCCCATGCCTCCTCCCTATGTGGCACTGGCGGGAACTTGGCCAGCTGGCCACCAATGGCAGATGATGATTGGCCGCCAACCTTGCAGGGTGCAGCGCGGGAGTGCCATAGCTACCCAGGAAGGGGTATGGACTCACTGGGGCATGCCCAGATGTGTTGGTGAAGTGTCGCGAGGGTGGGGCAGCGCAGGAATTCCTGAGCCGCTCAGGATGGGTGAAAGACTTACCATGGCACACGCTGAGGACACCTGGGGCTAAGGCGAAGTTGTTAGTGGTTGGTTAGTGGGTTGGACGCGGACTTGTGGGGATTGGTACGCCAATGAAGGCAAAACAGCAAGGGGTCAACAAGTCTTCATACTGGTTGGCCTGAACACTAATTGAGCCCATGGTCTATTTCTCAACATTGAGGATATTGGACCAAGAATCCTGAATATGACAGCAGTTCATATGCCCTGACGGGGAAAAACTGGATCCAAGGATGAATATCATCACAAGTAAATTGATCAGCCCAGCATGTCAGAAGGTCTTGGGAACCACACTCTGAGTAGGCTGTAGCAAGGAGGAAGAGGAAGAGAGCTGCATGCCAAAGGTTGTCCCAAGCAGCATTGAGTAATGATTGATCATACTTCGCTTGAACAAATGAAGTCTCTGACTGAGTGTCCAAAGTGATGTTCACCTGTCCTGATTATTTTCTCACTGAAAATCTAGGCAAGAAGTGAAATTTGTTGGGACCTTGCCCATATTCCAGCTGACTAGATTACCAGGAATCGCTAGGGGTAATTCCCTATAGCGAAGTATATTTGGATATCAGTTGACCCTGACATTGGGGTAACAATATTTAGGGGGATTTTAGGTTTTTTGCCTGGTTCAGATCCATCAGGGATCAATACAGGTGAATGCTTAAGATCTTATTGGGCAGAGTTGCTAATGAATAGGGGCATCTGATAGTTGATTGATGATTAACTATCAGGTGTACGGATTGGGATCAGTTGGGTTTCATCACTGACCAATTGGGAATTTAAGGATCAAGTTGTGAGGCGAGTGATGTCGCCTGCAACTAGCAAATCAATCAGTTGGTTTGTGACCTACTTAATGGGTAATAAGTCCCATTACCTAAGCAAGTCACTTGCCAAATATGGTTGGTTTGCTTGTATCGAGAGGAAAACGCTAGGGACATGTTTCTGGCTCTTTCCATTTTAGGTCTTAAGAATGTCCAATGATGGAATCCTAGCCAGGATGGGGAAGACCATCGCTGATGATAGACAATGATGGGTAATACAATGGCAACGGCTGCCGTTTCATCAATGAGGTGCCAACTGAGGGTTGGACGCCAAATTCCCACTATAAATTCCCCTAAGAATTCACTTAATAAGATAGATATATACACTGAAAAACTTTACACTTTTACCAGTAATTAGTATCATACCAGAATCCATTTCAGGTTCTATTCTTTCTCAAAAAAAATTTATTGCTGTGTACTTTAAAATGGGAGACTCTTTAGGAAAAAGAATAAGGATCTGAGCGTGGATCCAGAGAAGAGAAGCTAAACTAATTTGGGAATTGCTGCCAACTGTGTGTCACCAGAGAGAAGCCATAAAACGAGGATCTGAGCGTGGATCAAGTTGGGCAGTATAAGGGAACGAATCTCTATTGAGGACATCCTAAGTATTTTGAGAGTAAATACTAGTCAAGCGTTGCACCCAATACTAGTACTTTATTCAACTATGGATAATAGTCTTCATACTATTATCAAAAAATACATCTTACTATCATACAACAAAGGTAATTGCACAACAACGAACCTGTGCAGTCAATTAATCCAGGGTTTAACAGCCAAGAATAATCAAGCACTCTATAAATTTTAACAACCCTTATTCTGGTTACCATCCCAAGGCCTGCACCTGCAATGCGGCTCAAACCTGCTCTTCTTCTGCTCTGCAAACCTGAGGTCCCTAAGCTATTTAATCAGAGTTCATCACCTTAAATGGGGCAGCGCTCCCTGCCCCCACCTTACCGTCAAAATCAGCTTTTGTCATCAAATAAGCATCTCCAATTGGTCCAAAGCCTGCTCTTAAGCCTAAACCCCTCTCTCAGGTGACATTTGCTCCCACAAACAATGGGTTCAAGGACCAGGTCGCTAAAGCTAAACCATCTGTTTCCCCAAGGCTCACAGCCGCTGATTAATCAAAAGCTGGCGTAGTTAAAGCATCCACCTCCACGACGCTATCTCTTTTAGTCACTCTAAAACTATACTGGTCGCCATGAGGAAGCCAAAACTTCATACTTTGAAGGTGAAAGGGGAATTAGCTCAAATGGTAGAGCCTTCGCTTACTGTGCAAAAGTCATGGGGATTGATACCTTAATTCCCCATTTTAAAAAAGGGGGAGGATACCCCAGTGGTAGAATAGGGACCTCTACCACTGCCTCCCAGAGTTCGATCCCAGTAATGAACTTTGGGTAGGGGATGATTATGACTGTGTTGGCGTTGTGCACCAATGCCCGAACTGAGATAGCAAATAGCAAAGGCGGTCCATGGAGTTCCTGGCCTATTGTACACCGCGCATGGAGGTTTTCCATGTTTTATATCCTCCTTTCCCATTTTCTTCACTTCCCCTCATCAGTGTGGTATTTTCCCCATGTCAGCCCACCTCAAATAAAATTGAAGGTTGAAAATCGAGCCATGACCCTTTCAAAGCCTGTCCCAAAAGTTAATATGGCTGATGAGTAATCTCAGGACCTATCCTGTCATATTGGAAGCCCTAAACCTACCTCACACCCTATGGGCTCCCTAACATGCATTAATAACTCCTCCAATGATGAATCTGAAGGGAGTTGTGAAGATGTAGGTCAATATGTTTTTGGGGCCCCCACTGAAGTGGAGGTACCCAACAGGTTGAACCCTGAGAGAGTGGATATGGCTATGGTACCACGCCGACTTATCTTCATCAAGTGCTGAGGGGTCTGGAGGTTATTGACACTGCTAGTGTCGCTGATCAGCTTATAGCCTCACTAATCCAATCCACCCAGAGTGTGCACTCCCTGCAGGCTATCCAGGAGAAATACCCTGAAACTTCCAAAAGACTTTCCTCTACTCTCCATTTAAATGAGGTTCTCGCTTGGTCCCAACTTGGGTGGAACTTTAACCAAAGTGGAGGTCCTCGTTATTGGAGTGCGGGTTATGGATATCCTTGACACTGGATCCCCAGTGAACGTTGTGTCAATAAAAATCATAAAAAAATTAAGCTGAACCTTGAACTTGATTACAATTAAGGATTTGGAACCGCTGGCCCAAATAACACCCACGCCATTGGGGCGTACTCTTCTCTGCCCATTGGTTTTGGGAAGCCCATCCTGTCCCCATTAGGTTGGAACCACCTAGTGCTAAAAAATAGAAGCTTATCTTGTTGGCCCCAGCGGTGGCCTTGGATAATAATAGCTAAAATCTACTCATCGGGACCCAGTTTATGCTTGAATATGAAGGTGTTATTAACTTACATCAGGGCTATCTCTCCCTGCTTAACTACAAAGTTTCTCTGATTATGACCAATGAAGGACAAAAAAATATTATGCTTGCACTGTTGAGTACCATCCTCCGCCTTATCCCTATATTACACAACGGCAGTTCACAACACCAAGCTGTTGCCTCCATCAATGGATGCTCTAGAGGGTATCCCTTTCTATGCGTCTGAAGAGGTAGTAATCAAAGCGGGTGAACAAAGGTATTTAACACGAAGATAGCTCATCAAATATTCACAACTGTTTATTGCACCTATTCAGCATTGACATAGTTAACCCTCTTGAGCCTAGAGTCTTGCCAGGCGTGCTCGACCCAGCCTATCAGCAACCAATAAATCTCCTGTTGGGGAATCTCACAAATAATGACATGGTCTTCATGAAGCATAAGGAGATCGGAAGAGGCCTGCTGGTCCCTATTTAGGACATTAAACAAGTTTACTGTACTAAATCTAAGGCTGATATGGGCTTACCTGCAGAAGTATTTCTATGCACTCTTCCTACTGTGTATCTTTCTGATGATCTAACCCTGCAGAGATTGATGAGGTTCATAGTTTACTGGAGTCCTATAGAGATAATTTCTCTAAATCTGATACTGACTTTGGGCACATGAAGGGTTGGACTCACACTATTGAATTGGGGATGCTCATCCCATTCAATCCAAGCCCTACCACAAACCAAAAGTCGAGGAGCTACAGATGTGGACGGAGCTCAAACAGCCGCTTGATGCTGGGTTGCTGGCGCCCTCACAAAGCCCTTACTCATCCCTTCTTCTACTTATAAAGAAGAAAAAAGGAGGTCATTGGGTAGTTATGGACTATTTAAGCTGAACAATCTCACCAAGAAGGATAGTTACCCATTCCCTCATATTGATGACGCTCTGTACCAAACTCTCTGGATCCTAGTCCTTTTCTTCCTTAGACTTGGCTAGTGGGTATTGGAAGATGGACCTTTTTACACAGGATCAGGAGAAGTGCGCCCTTATCTTTAGTGATGTCTTATTTCAACCCATTTAGTTACCCCAGGGGTTATGCAATGCGCCTGCCACTTTTCAGTGGAAGAAGAATCATATCTTTAGGATCTCAAACTGAACTATTGATTGTCCTACTCAAAGACATCATAGTTTTCTCCAAGACTTTCAATGAACACCTTGCACATCTAAAAGAGGTGTTTTAATTGTTGCTGGCATCCAACATCAAGGTGAAACCCTCCAAATTACATCCTTCAAGAAGAAGTTGGATTTCCTAAGGCACTCTATCTTTTATGATGAGATACAACCCCTCCAAGATAAGGTGTAAGTGATATCTAAAATGCCTGCGCCAAAAAACCTTCGTGACATTCAAGTATTTTTGAGCATGATGGGGGTATTACCATCAATTAATCCACAAATTTGCCCATCTCAGTGAGCCCTTCGTACGTTTCTTGGCTAAAAACAATCCTTTTAATTGGGGTGCCGAATAAAAAGTCGAGTTTGAGACCCTAAGGAAGTTATTACAATAAAGGCCAATACTCCACCACCCTGATTATGGCAATCCCTTCATGTTGTTCAAAGATGTCTCTGACTATGCCATTGGGGCTATATATTAGCTTAATTGGATGAAACTGGGGTCGATCACATGTGACCTACTTTTTCAAGATACTCTTAAAGGCAGAATGCAACTACAGCGTCACTGAAAATGAGTGCCTGGCTGTCTTGCTTGCTGTCAAATACTAATAGCCTTTTCTATATGGGACCTCTTAAAAATTAGTCACCGACCACGCCTCTTTGAAGTGGTAGCAAAATATGAAGGACCCCACTGGAAGGCTGGCTCACTGGTCTCTGAAGCTCCAGCACTATGACATGACCATTGAGCACCTGGCAGGAACTTGCCATATGAATGTAGACGTGCTGACGTGGCTGCCTATTCTTCACTTAGACAATAGTGAAGCTGAGAGGTTACATGACCTCCTTATGACTCCTGACACGTAGGATGATGAAAATGAACCAGTCCATAAGATGCTAGCTCAGCACTCCTGCAACACTAAGGTGGAAAGTGGGGAGTTAAATAAATAAGTTGGAGTAAACTAGCTGCCTTATATACGGGCTTCAGAGTGAGTACCTGTGATCATGGAGTCTCACAATATCATGGGCCATGTTGGAGTCTGAAAAACCTACGTTTGGTTTAAAGAGCGGTATTCCTAAGAGGGCATCATGGAGACCATAACTGAAGTCCTGGATGCTTGTCTGACCTGTAAAAAGAAATCCAGATATAAGACCCAGTATCAGTATCACTGACTACGCCCCAACAACCCTTCCACACCCTAAGTTTGGAAGTGGTAGGGCCTTTACCTCAGACCACTGGTGGCAATCGCTATATCTTGATCAGAATTAATCATTTCACTAAATGGGTTGAACTGTTGCTAACCCCGTTCAGACTGCCAAAGCCACTGCTACCTTTTTACATCAAAATATCTTCATACGGCATGGCTGCCCCTTGTTCTTTTTTGTGATAATAAAAAACTTTACCTCTAGAGTGGTAAAGCTCCTCGCCACTTCTATGAGACCACAACAACTTTTCTAGGCCCCCTACAATTCATCCAATAAAGGGTCCAAAGAAAGAGTAAATGTAACCCAGGCATCTATACTCCAAAAAATGGCCAATTCAGACCATCTTCATTGGGATCTCTACTTGACCAGCGCTTATGGCCTATCACATTAGTTATAATCATATCATCAAAAAAAGAAATTTCATGTGTTGTATAGGCGGTAACCTGGGGTGCCAGCTTTATTAGCCAAAGATGTCTTCTCTGAAAGAACTGACCCAGAGCAAGCCATGAAAATGTTAGCCAAGCACATCATTCAACTTCAAGCTAATGCTATGACTAACTTGGCAAATACTGTCACTAAAGAAGGCCAAGAAGCTAATGAGATCCAGGCCCCTCTTCCTTCCTTCCAAGTATCAGACTTTGTATTGTATAACCACAATCAGATGACCCCTAGGAGTGAGAAGCTTGAGTTTTTCTGGGAGGTAACTTTTGTAGTCACATATAAGTGAGGGGATGAATAATTCATCAAATACCTTGCTTCTGGAGTTACAATCAACCAGGTTCATGGCTGGTTCTTACGCCTTTATTTAACCCCTACCGCTCTTGAAGGGAATAATGTCAGACAATTACAAGTCCAATATTGTGATAAGAGCATTTCGGATTTAAACAATGAAAAAATTGGCCAAAAACTCTGGTCAATTTTCTGTGGAACCTCTCAAATTGGGGTAACACTTTTATTAATCCTTCTTGAGCTAATAGCACGAGGTTGGGCAGTCAGATTGCACTGACCATGCGGCAGAATCAGGGGAGTTCATCCAAGATTCTCCACATTTTTATTTTTTAATTTAGTTAAACCACCTATGCGGGTACCATCCCCTTTTATAGCCTTGAAGGGGGTCCCAACAGATTTAAAAAGGTAACCCCACGGTGATTGGTTCAGAAATATCAAGACCTTGCCTAATGGACTGGTCCTACCTACTCTTGACCCTCCATTGGCCATTCCATTAAATTGAGCCAAGTTTCAAGGGCTATAATAAGTTGAACACCTATATATTACTAAATAGCTCAAAGCTAATATTGGATTGATGCATATCTCAGTCCAAGCCCCAAGTAAATTTAAATACTAAGCAGTGAGATCATAACAGGGTTCACTTTTAATCCCTTCACTGCAACTATTAATATATATATAAATCCAGTTTATCAATTATTAGTGCTTGATTAATTTTATTATAAGAGGTTTCAATCCCTGAATTGTTGGAATTTAGGCGCAAAATGCACCAGTGAGCTCACTAAAAGCCTAAAATCCAACACCAAAATCTAAACTTATGGTT